TTATTTATTTAATAATTTATGTACACACAGACAGCACAGAGGATAACACATATATAAAATAAGAGTACAAAGGTGCTACTTATTCCTGTTGGAATTTCTTCCAGTAGACCTGAGACAGGAAATCTAATTAAAACAAAAGACACAGACCTCATGATGTTTTCCTTCGCCGTTTGTCAGTGGTGTCTAGATAACCTTAAAAAGTACTTATAATTTGGAAAAAGTCACATTGGTGCTTGCCGTTGGTAGGTTTTGAACCCGAGTGGGTTCGGAGCAGACTCCATTTTCGACTATATTTCTAGACGTTTTCTTGTTAAAAATCCCGTTTTGGTCTCCACGGTTTGGGAATTTCACTTAGTTCACCCAAAAATTTTGATATTCTTACTGCCTCTGTGGCTTTTTAGTTACCCAGGCTTAAAGAAGCGTCCTTTTTTGAGTTATAAACTAAGTCCCATAGTAATAGTGGCGACTGAATACATTCTCAGACTTCAAGCTATTTCTGAGCTGTGATTAATCTCAAAATACTTTGTCCGTTCCGGGAATAGAATTCGAGATCTCGTGTTCAGTCGTAGAGACTTTGTAGCAACATAGCTGTCAAGAAACAAGCAAGAATCAAGCAACAGAGATCGGGTACCAGTGATCTCTGATAAACCTGAACGTTTTAAATTGTGATCTGCCGAAGGAGATTATGGCACACTCTCTTATGTAGAGGCTACTCATAGTCCAGCTGCAGACGACTTAGCGGGTTACGCGGCTCCAGCTCGAAGCAGAATTAAGAACGGGGTGATATTTATTCAGTAAGAAGTAAACCAAAGGCCTTCCTACCCTCCATCCACTCGTCTCTATGTAAAGCTTTTTGCGGTCAATCGTTTCGCCATCTCCTTATGGATGCCCAATTTAGTTTATTTTAATTATAATTGTTCTGATACTTTCTCATCCTACGTATAGACTGAATGGAAGTCTCTTGTCATTAATATCCTATGTAGATATGTATCTTATCTTATCTTTAGGTATTATGTACTTCAGGGCATGTGCCCTAAGGCCTGCCTTAAAGTGAAATTTTGTTTTATCTCACTGTCCTCGAGTATGGATTTTAAAATTTCTCAAAATTGACTTTCATTACATTAACTGCAGGCAGTCAAAAATAGCCAAGTGGTCTGTGTCTTCTCTATAATCAAGTTTTAAAGTATTATAGAAAAGTAGTATTTACTAATCTTACTACGCATCATAATTTAAATCGCTAATAACATTGAATGTCCTTGGTCGAATCGAATGGGTCATTGTACGAATCTATACTATACCTACTATAACATTATAAAGCTGAAGAGTTTGTTTTTTTGTTTGTTTGTTTGAACGCGCTAATCTCCGAAACTACTGGTCCGATTTCAAAAAATCTTTCAGTGTTGGATAGCCCATTTATTGAGGAAGGCTATATAGGCTAAAATATCACGCTACGATTAATATACGCCGAGCAGAGCGAGTGAAACCGCGCGGAAGTAGCTAGTGTAAAATATATACCTATCTGTAATCCGTATAGGTTCTTGTTTTAGCTACGAAAGTTCCATGAAAAAGATGTTTCCATCGGTAAAACTTTTTTTATGCCATAAGCCGGTAAATGAGCAGACGGACCACCTGATGGTAAGCAAGCGGCGTCGCCCATGGACACACGGAACACCAGAGGCTTTACAAGTGCGTTACCGGCCTTTTGGAATTAGGAATTTGAGGATTGTTGGGGATTCATGGATTGGGGAAAGGGATTCCAATCTAGGAAATCGGACTGATATACTATTATTTATTTTGTATTTGTTGACGTTTCAAAAGTACCAAATTATGGTTTAATTTAAATAAATACTTTGATTCTAACTTAGAAACAGAAACACATAGTCTCGCATTTAGGTATAATATTAGTTTTTTTTTAAAGCGGGGAAAATCATTTAGACACCACTGACCAACGGTGAAGGAAAACATCGTGAGGAAACCTGGGCTTATAATTTCTAATTATAAGTTTGAAATCGCCAACCCGCATTGAGGAAGCGTGGTGATTATTGCTCTAACCTTCTCCATGTGAGAAGAGGCTTTGCTCAGCAGTGGGCATTTATAAGCTGTTGATGATGATGATGATGATGGGGAAAATCATCGAATGGTTGCTCCCGCCTATAATATTAGTATGATACTAGTATTTTGCCTACTTCTAGAATTCAGCATTTAAAAATAGATTTCAAACAATATTTTCGCTTTTAATAGCGTAATCCTTGAGGAAGGTCGGAGTCCAATAAATTTGAACACGACTGCTACAAATAATAAACGCGAAAGTTTACGACGATGGATTGATGTTTTTCTCAGAATTACACGAAAATAATTGATTGGATTTGCGTTCAATTTGGCACTGAGATATATACGGTAGGTATTTGCCAACTAGGTAGTTAAATTCAATACTTTTTTCGAACTGTCAAAAACGACAGTTTTCTATGAATTTTGTACGAGATTGTGAATTGTGACGTCACGTTTTTTTAGCGTCAAACAGCATGCTTATTCAAAAAATACTAAAACGAAGTTGGTCATAAAATCAATTAAAGAAAGTGTGATAAGTTTTGATTGCTTTGATGTATTAAACAGTCGATATAATTTATTTTTGATTATAGAAAGTACCATATTAGGTATAGTCTGGATTAGCAGCTAGACAAAAATTCTTCCCAATATTACTGATATTTTCATCTAGTTTATAAGCGAAACCGCGTGGTGTAACTAGTTAATAATAAACAAGCGAAAATTCCGGGGAAAATGAAGAAATGTCGTATGAATCAGTTGGTCAATGTTCGCTGCGATGTTGAGGCGTTGAATGCTTCGCAGTTTGCTACCGAGCGCGGCCGTAAGCGCGCGCGAAACCCGTACTCAGTAAACAAAGAAAATTACGTTCCGTGCAAACTAAGGCGGGAAAATTTGACGTTATTTTTTTTTCTTGTTTATTAATCTAGTCTATGGTTTTTAGTGCGTTATGTTGGTAGAATTGCAGTAGTATTTTTTTTTTCGTCTGTGATATTAATATTTATGGTTGTGTTTTTTTTTTTCTTTTTCGTTTTGTGCCGAATTTGGTTTTCGCGTTTTGTTATTGTGTTGTTCAAGTGTTTGGAGTTATTTTTAAAGATGGCGTAGTTACGGTTTGATACGAAAACATCGTTGCGTACTTTGTTTTGGACTTGTTTAGATATTGATTGCTGTTTTTGTTTACCTTTCTCATGAACAGAACACGATTTTCATTAAGACTTTTTCTGTAGGATTTAACTTTAAAATATCAATGTCTTTGGTTATTATTTCAACTAAATCAAATTATATACCCTCATTGTTCCTAAAAACAAGTAAATGTGACATTAAAATTAATTTCTGTTCATACGCTTTCTAGACGCATATTCTGCATTTCAAAGTGAAAAAAAAAAACAAATAGAGGTCATTTAACTCGAAAACCATTACATATACAGTTTTTACTTGTTTTCGTAATCTGAATTATTTTTACAATTAAACCGCAAACGATTATATGACTTGTGTTCGAAAGAATAAAGTGTGTAATCGTTTGTTTTGTAATAGGGCGTAAGGTTAATTTGATTCAATAGACAATTTTAATATGTTTTTATTGTACTTTTCACGGCATTCGTGACTGATATTACGATTTATAATTTTAAGGGGATAAGCAGAAATGTTAAAAAGCTAAAACTGAATAGCTAGTTATTTTTTCTGAGTCAAAAAACTTGGTAATTTAAAACTATGTTGTTCTATATAGTATCTAATAATCCTAGTACTAGTTATTCGCGCTAAATAACTAAGAGGATAATATAAGCAACTTTAACAGTTTTTAAAAATGTTCATTATGACTTCCTAAATCCAGTGTATAGTAAAAGAATTGCCCCTATCACATTATATCAGTGTTCTAAGATCGCACCCCTGCTCACACCCTGTAAGGTTAAAGTGACGAAAATATATTCTATGACCTCCAGTTAGTATTACCATATTTTTGAAAATATTTACAATTGCAGTAAAACACTAAAAATAGACTTTATTTCTATGTAAAATAGTGACGAAATTGCAACTGTAGGTAAATCATATTTCTGTAGCCTTTGACTGTCCTTAATTTTGCAGTTAAAGCAGTAAGTACCTATCTAACAACGTCATATCATGAAAGCAGACGTTCCAAATTTGAAATTTAAATTCCGAATGGAACTTTAGAATTCGTAAGCGGATTTTTAAATTTTGACAGTTAAGTTAGTGTCAAATGTCGAAATGTAAATAAGGTTGAATAACTTTTTTTGTTGATTCGAGTTAAATAATAGTGCCTTGGTTATTATTTAATATCTTTCAGGGTCAAATCAATCGTAATATGCTATCACACTACTCATTACTTTCTGTAGTTGAATCAACGAACAAGAAAATCGTTATTACGTCCCTTCTACGCCATATTATTCTAATCAATCAATAAAACTTACCAACAAACAACTAAGTACGCAATAAGTAATACCAACATAACAAACTGAAAACAATAGAATGAGGTTTTACTTAGCATTTGATATTGAATTGAATCTATTTATAGTTATTTGTAACATGTTTATTACCTATCGTTGTCAGAGCATAATGGTAATAATTATGTTAAATATCTAAAACATTTTTCTTTATTCTCTCTAGTGAATGAAAGTATATTTTACACAAAGACTGACTTCGATCTGTAATCTCGATTACAGATAATAAATAACTGAAAGTGCAGTGGTCTGGCGTAACGCCAGCGTGGACTAAACACGATTTTAACAAATCCAGTGACAATGTGCTCCTCAAACATGTATACCAACATAACGAACTGTGTGCGAAAGTGACACCTGTCAAAATGTCGGAGAAAAGAAGAAAGAAGACGATAAATTTTATTAAAACCATAAGGACTATATAGCGATAGATTTTTATTTTAATAGACTTTTTTTTAAAACCAATACTGATCTCATAAAGTGCTCAATTTAAACAAAACAATGATTTCACTGAAGAAATTGTATGGGGACGAGCTGCTGCGGCTTGCTCTGGTCTTAAGCCTACTAAAGGTGGACCCCAACGATTATTTAGAGAGGGAGACCCAGCAGATGTTAGCTGGTCTCCATATTTCAAACGGATCCGATTGGTCTCTGGAACAGGAGGCCAGGACCCTAATAAGACCAAGATACGTCCATCCAAAATCCTTAGACAACATACTAATTAACTACGAGAGACAATTATTCGAAGAACTGAACTCCTTAGGACGATATGGTAATCCAGAAACGGAATATAATGAACGGATTTGGAGTAACAGGGCGCCGATACTTCATACATATTTAGTTAATAATGTAGCGACCGACGCAGTCGCGCCACCGCTCGCCTCGGCGACGGTTACCGAAAATGCTGAGGATTCAGTTTCGGCGGACGATAACGTAGCTCAAGAAGTTAAAGTAGAAGAAGAGGAAGGAGAAGAAGAAGAAGAAAGGAATCATGAAGAAAGACCAGACGCAGTTGTTACTCTATCCGCAGATTTCCTCCACAATAGAACGGAAGAAGATATTTTCGCTGAAATAGCCTCAAGGTCTTTTGACGTCAACGAGCTACTAGTACAACCATCCGAGATGCAGATCAAGAAAGAAGATGAGGACTACGAAGTCCACGTAAAGAAGGAAGCAGAGGATGACTTGTATAGCGACAACGCTATAGATTTCATGCCCTTCTTTAGCACAAAGACTGAGATGGAATTCGGAGAAGCGAATTCTGTTTTGCAACAAAATATGGCTGACTTGCAAGAGTTTAGCGACGTTGATGAGGTTAAAGAACTGAAGCATGATCTAGAGTATTTGGACGTGAAACAGCAGCAGGAGAATTTGGAACAGTATTTATTGGAGAACACTCCTTTAGATGCTGAGGTATATGAACTAGCCCCGATGTTTGAAGAAGAATTAGTCTTGAATGTAAAGAGAGAAAGAGCCAGCACAAGTTTCACGGCAAGTTCTAGTGGTGTTAGTGATATGGATGCTTCCACTGATGGTTTGGATGTCAAAATGGAGCCAGATGAAGGTCATCACACCGGTGACGAGCTGACACAAGAGGTGAGTTAATGTAGTTTTTATCACTTTAGTGTTAAGGCTGATTTTGCAGTGGTTTTTCTTGTTTTATTGTTGCTATTATAGGTCTTATTGTTTGAGGAATAAAGCTGATAGTTACAATTCCAGTCAGATCAGAGGCAGGGAAAACATAACCTTCAAATGTTTGCAATATAACTAATAAGGTTTTTGATTTCAAAAATATATCCTAGCATAGTATACACAGAGTTTAAAATTACTTTTATACTTTGTTTATTGAATAATTTGTTAATACTAATAGTTAATTGATTTAACAGCAAAATAACAAGTTAAAATTCTACGCAATTGTATTTTCATAACCATTAATGCATTTGTTTACGTAGAACATAATTTAGTATTTGCTCGGCAGACAATGTACGTCAAATGACGTCACAAGTTCAGAGTACAACTATAATCAACGAGGTTACCGATTTTAAAATTTAAAATACGAATTCTACATGCAACAAAGTTACACGTTCAGTCGACAGTGGCGCTAGTATCTACGTAAAAGCGTTTTGTTTTGACAGTTTCTTTAGGATTTTTGTTTAGTTCCAATTTTGGCCACTGGCTTTATTATGTTGGTACCTTGTAGTTGCGTTGACAGACGTACTGTCGATGCTTCTTTTATTTTTATTATTTTTTTTTTAAAACAGCATTTCTTTTCTTAATTTTTTAACTGTCAAACTTGAGGTTATTATTAATGGAGGGAAGATGTAAATTTTCCTTTTATGAATTATTGGCAAACGTTTCAAGTATTCCGTGAATTGCTATATGTAGTTTGTAAGTCAATTATGTATGTGTAACTGTCCCTGTGTGTTTGACTGCCTTGTTATCGGATGCCGAGCTCAATGCGAGTTGGTGATTTCAAACATATAACTTTTTTTTATTATTTTTTTTTAAATTCCGTCGTTGTCAGTGTCGTCTAAATAATCTTAGTGCATGAGAAGCGGGCGTCTTAAACCTCCGGGCCACCATGGCCTACGTACGTACCACAACTACGTACGTACGCGCGTCCGCCTATAGTGTCATAAAATAGATTTTTACAAAATTTTGAATTTAAATTAAATTGAGTGAAGACTGGAGCGAAAGTTAATACATAATTTTTAAAATAATACCTTTTACGTATAGTAGTCTTTAATTTTAATTTGTAATTAACAATTAGCAGGTAGCACACGTTTGTATTAACGTATTTATTAAACCAATTTTAAAATGAATAAAGCTATGTCTGACAGCTGTTGCCTGCGATGTCCGCGTAGAATATGAATTTTAGAACATAACTTTTATTATGTTCGATTTTCCAAAATAACATTAGCCTATGTTAAGTTACTCCCCGGAGTCGCGGAGAACCTAACCGGTAACCGGGGCTCCGGCTAGACGTGCAGGAAAAGGAATGGGGTGGTTTTTAGTCAGTAAGAGTCTGACACGCCTCACCCAGGCGGGAGCAGTCATTCGATGATTTTCCCCCCTTATAAAAAAAAACTCCTTAGTACATTACCTACCTGCCAATAAAAGTATTGCAAAATCTGTCCAGCCATTGCTCTTGTTGATTACTCTGTGGCTTGGCTATGGCTGGTTGAGGCTCTATGCACGAGTTTTTTTTTTAAGGCGGGAAATTCTTCGAATGTCTGCTCCCGCCTGGGTGAGGCGGGAGGGAGTGTCAGACTCTTACTGACTAAAAACCACCCCGTTCCTTCTCCTGCACTTCGAGCCGGAGCCCCGGTTACCCGTTAGGTTCTCCGCGACTCCGAATCGGCATCGGCCCTATTGGGCCCCATCTGTGGTCTGATGGCCTTTTGAGGCATGCCGTACGCTCAGGTCTGTTTCTGGTCGGACTGGAGCCACCCATCTATGCAAGAGTAGGACTGAATGGGGTGGTGTTTAGTCAGTAAGAGTCTGACACTCCCTTATGCCTCACCCTGGGCGTGAGGACTCATTTGATGAATTTATCCTTCAAAAAACAAGCATTATGTATCATAGTGTGATTCTAAATGAACAATGCGTGGGAATCGAAGCCTGTAATTTACGTAACACTGCGGTTTTGCGATAAAAATGATAATTTTCGTTTATCTCTGCTTATCTGGGACTAGCAGTAACTAGCGCGCATGTTATGTATGATTACTCAAAATTTACACACAATACACATACATAAATATCACCAACAGCCTATAAATGCCCACTGCTGAGCAAAGCCTCTTCTCACACGGAGAAGGTTTGAGCATTAATCGCCACGCTTGCTCAATGCGGGTTGGCGATTACAAACTTATAATTGGAAATTATAAGCCCAGGTTTCCTCACGATGTTTTCCTTCACCGTTTGTCAGTGGTGTCTAGATAATCTTAGGAAGTACATATAATTCGGAAAAAGTCACATTGGTACTTGCCGCTTGTAGGTTTCGAACCCGCATCCTCATACATGAGAAGAGGGCGTCTTAAACCTCCGGGCCGCCACGATACATAAATATAAGGGGGATTTTTTTGGGTAGGAAAAATAGATCTCACATGGTGAGGTGCCTGTACTAGGATAATCCTGTTTGACGAATAAGTCGCTTAATCAGGTCGCCTGCCACCTTGTGGTGTCTCTTAAATAGTTTTTATGTGACCCCCCTTCGCCGGGTATACTACACCCACGGAAAGAGGAGCGGTGGTAAAACAAACTATTCGATTCTGACGTCACCGCGAGTCGTCATGTTAAAGTTTTAGTTTAAAATTTAATCTTAAGTTTTAATATTTAATAGTTACGCTTGTTAAATTTAACGCAGTTAGCCACGCAGGGTTCATTCAACTGTAGGTCGATGATCTTCAAAAACTTAACTTATATTGTTACGTTGAATTGAAACCCACGTAAAATAAAACCTTTGTTTATTAACTACTAGCTTTTATCCGCGGCTTCGGTCGTGTTACAAAAGGATAAAAAGTAGCCTATGTGACATATACCAATACATACAGCGCCATCTATACCAATACTTTTGTTTTTTCCTCGGGAATATCAAAATTTTCCGGGATAAAAAGTACCCTATTATTTAATCCGGACTTCTAACTTTACATCTGCAAAAATTCAAAGCAATCGGTTTAGTAGTTACGGCGTGAAAGCGGAACAAACAAACAAACAAACAAACTCACTTTCCGATTTATAATATTATATAGTAAGGATTCTACTATGTAATATTGTAACTAGCTGTGCCTGCGATTTCGTTCACGTAGAATTGTGATTTACTGCGCATACCCTGCGCATACTGCGCGATCCGCAAAAAAGGTATTTTGATGCGCATTTTAAACTTAGAACATAGTTTAACATATTTAACGTTTTTCGTTTGAAACGTTTAAAAAAAGAATACGTTCTAATTCGAATTTTAAAACAGTTTGTAACGGTTGTCAACGGCATCACACGATTAGATATTCTAAATACGAATTGTAAACTGGGGTTTGATTTTTGTGTTACTTCCGGCTTTTAAATTCAGAGTTTAATATCTACCATTTTTTTAAGTCATCGAATGACTGCTCCCGCCTGGGTGAGGCGGGATGGAGTGTCAGACTCCTACTGACTAAAAACCACCCCGTTCCTACTCCTGCACTTCGAGCCGTAGCCCCGGCAACCTTTTACGTTCCCATATAAAATCACTAGTTCCTCCCGCACGGTTTGCTCGGCTCCTATTGATCGTAGCGTGATGTTTTATAGCACATAACCTTCCTCAATAAATGGACTATCCAACACAAAAATATTTTTTCAAATCGGAGCAGTAGTTCCTGGGATAAGCGCGTTCAAACAAACAAAGTCTTCAGCTTTATATCATACTAGCGACCCGCCCCAGCTTCGCACAGGTGCAATATACATGTTATACATATTCCTTAAAAACCACTCTAACTATTAAAAAAACACATCAAAATCAGTTGCGTAGTTTTAAAGATCTAAGCATACATAGGGACAGACAGACGGTGGATAGCGACTTTGTTTTATACTATGTAGTGAAGTTACGTACTTAAGAGTATGTACAACATAAGTCGTATATTTTTATACATACAAAACATAACATAACATCATGCCTTTTATCCCCGAAGGGGTAGGCAGAGGTGCACATTATACCACTGTACAATGTAACATATAAAACATACCGATCAATTTATTCTATTCTGTCTCACTTCAATACAATTTCAACCTTATACACTTTGATAATAAAGTTAAAAATAGCTTTTTGATGTCTGTTCGTAGTTGTTACAATGTTTCAAATACACGTGTGAGCTATTTTGATGCACTATCTATCATTATCGTTGTCGTAGAAGATAAGTATCTACATACAAGCAACTCCCGCGCAGATTCATTCGCTGCGCTGCTCCTGGTAGTTATAGCGTGATGTTTTATAGCCTATAGCCTTTATCAAATATAAATATAAATGGATTGTTCAACACAAAAAGAATTATCGTAATCGGACTAGTAGTTTCCGAGATTAGCGCGATCAAACAAAAAATAAAGTACAATTTATTCTTATTTAGTATTATATTTAAAAATGTATTTTTTATTGCTTTTTCCAGTTTGTATTAAATTAGTATCATTACTAAACAATTGCATTGAAATACTAAACACTGCATCTTTACTAGAAATTGTCTAAGTGGCGCTGGCGAGTTATCGATTCAACATAAATCGATATCGAATCGATATTGAATCGATAAGTTTACCGAAAAAGACTTACGACTTTAATAGAAATGAAGTTTGCAAAAATAAAGTATTTTCGTGTACTTTATTATTCTTATAAAGTATAGAGTACAATGGGGATGATGACAGGGTATGAAAATTAAAAATATAATTAGTCCGTAAGTTAGGTAATGAAAAAATATTAGACACGTATTTTTTTATTTTGTCGTATAATAAAACAATACTTAGATAAAACGAATCAAAGTTTAGGAGTGGGGGCTAAAACGTCATTTCTTAATATAAAATGTACTGAGAAGTGACGTCACGCGACATTTCAAATCAATATATCTTCGAAACTATTC